ACAGACAACCTCTCGTCAATATGCGTTTTTCGCATTGCATTGCTGCAAAAAACGCATAATAAACGAACTGAAAAAGGTTTTGGAGGAAAATTGGCCAAACCTGCCTGAGCATGTTGGAAACTCAAAGCACTGTCGCAGAGATTGTAAAAGTAGTACTTCAAAGCCATTTGTCACGACTGGGGCCCATTTTTTGGATGAATATTATGGACCTAGAGGAAATGGAATTCTCACTTCCACTATCTTCAGATCCGTTACTGTACGGTAATCACAATACACCACCGGGGCCTTTATTCGAGTGTTACTATGTGTAATGCCTGTGCTCATGTGTGCGAGCATTTCTGTGAGTGTGCGTGTGTGCATGTGTTTATCTTGATAATTCTTTTGCAACTTTGAAAGTTCCGTTACATTCTTTTTGAAAGATCCTATTACTGGTAAGAGAGGTAAAAGAGCTATCAAGTGCAGATACGCCACTTTTTAATAAGCAAAAGAAGATTCTGAAGGAGACTTGCTTTCAACTTATAGATATCAGCAACATCGTCGCCGGAGCGCAACTGTCTTCCAAGTACCTCGTCAGATTATACGCTGAAGGAAATCGACAGATCTGTTTATACACCGAGGTATACTTTCCTCGTTTTAGCTCAAACAGCTGGAGGGAGAGTGTGCGGGACGCCAAGGTTTACCGCGCTGCTACTCACTGATAGTTGAAATGAACGCGTTGATAATGCATCTCTACTAAGCCACACTGCTGAGAAAGAAGCAGGATATCATTTCATGTGATGTTTTCAAAGACCACAATTTTTTAAAATAGACTTTTCAAGCGATGCTTTCAAAAGTGAGTTTTCAAACGCCAAGCTGAGTAGCCACTGTACTACCGACATATGTAATTCTGTTTTGGGGCGTTGAGATACTGAGCTGCTTCTTTAGGATACTTCCGGATCCGCAGCCGCTGTACCAAATATATATGATGGAGCATAATGGACAACTCGTTTGCGAAGAAGATGAGCAAGATGCCACTGGGCCGGCCTTTGGTAGGAAAACTAACAGCGGCGCGAAAGTAAGCAGTTAAAGAAGTTTGATGGCACGCCAGCAGATTATTTGTATAAATTTTTCCGCTGACTCCAAGTGGGTTGTTGTTCGACGGAAGGAAGACTTTTTCTGCCTACAGATCTTCAATTTTTACTTTCCTGGCAAAAAAAGAAATGAAAAAGAAACTTAAATTTTGCATACTGGCAAACATTTTGTTTTATTGAATAATTTCATAATGTGTGTAAGATGCATCATATCTGTTGATACTGAATGATCGAATATTCCAAGGTTAGAGTGGCGGCTAGTCCGATAAGCAAGTCCAAAAATTCTTCCTGCAAGGAAGTGCTGTACGTACTTATACAGTGGTGCGGTGAATGGGAAGGCAGGAAATAATGCGAATTTTCTCGCCTTTTTTGGCGGATTACTTTGAATCGTCTGCAGACATGGCATACTATGAAACACACTGGGCCATAGTTCGACCCCATCTGTTCGAAGACCTGTCCCTCTAAAATTCACTCATTGTTTCGATGATTAATTGGTACTAGCAAGAATCCGAGAATTGGGCCGTGGATTCGACTGTACCATCCGACTCCTAAAACACCGCCAAATGCTGTCAGGGGTTATCGAGAACAAAAGTTTCTGTAGTTGAAAAGGAAACAGATTAATATTCCCGTACCTGGACACGGAGATAAACGCATTTGTCGAAACTAATTATCGAACTGTAGAGCCTTGCTTCTTCCTACGTCAAGTATGCTTCTTTTCGTAATGTCAGAATCAAATCTTTGAGATTATTCATTGTTTCAATGACTTTTTACAGTTCTAGATAGTTCAGCGTATATGTTAAAGTTTCAGAAAGCCCATGCTTCGTTATTTTTAGATGCAGCGAGCTCCTTCTACAGCATCAACTGATAGCGGCCGCGGAGTGGACTGCTCCACCACTGTATCACAGCTTACATCCAACACATCGATGCGACGTGATCGTTTGGTTGCGGGCAGCCATTTTGGAAGCCAGCGATCTTTATGGTGTGAACTTCCTGAGGTTGCTTGCGTTCTGGAAGATTTTTTTATTTTCGCTGCAAGATTGCAAGCGAAAATACTAATTTAAAACATTAATATCAGAAATATCAAGATTATCCACTACATCGATAAAGACATGTGCCATGCTAATGGCGTTACTGGGATATTTCCACATGTTGGGTACAACGGCATCGGCAACTTCCTTTCGGGGCTGCGTACATCCAGTTCGCTGCCTGTCTAATGTTTGCGTGGCACGTTTTAGAGCTCGATCAAGCGCCAATAAGCTCCTTCGAGCAACCACCGGTTGACTGTTCATCGAAAAAGTGTCAACGATGCTTTCTAATTGGCTTTCAAACTACTACTGTAGTAAAAATTCCCTCCAAAAATCTGTTACCCAGCAATACAATATTTCGCGAACCCCCTCATCCCCTAACCACTAATTGCACTGCGTTTCATCGCTTTCTCAATTTCAACTTCTCTTCCATTACTATAGTGTCGAGGGGCAGGGAGTGTTAAAGATTGAGAATGTGAAGGAAGTATAGCGTGGTCTGCGACAGAGATTGAGAATGCATATTTCCGGCTTTGCAGCACACCGTTGGAGGAGGAACAGAGATTGAGATGGCAGCTTAAATACAGTCGGCTTGGTGGCAGAGATTGAGAGGATAAATTACCAATTACATACGATAATATGCTTACATGTTAGCTTAACAACAGCGCTTGATTCAGTTACTTAATAGGCCAGATTTGAGAGGATGAAACGATGACGAAGCATTGGACGAAGCAGATAATAAGCTAACAGCCCAACATTACCGATTTCATTTGCTTTAGCGCGCTAAATACCCTAAAATGAGCGTTTATTTACGTGCCCAGGTACAGAAGTATTAATCCATTTCAACTGCAGAAATGGATTTGAGGCTCCTCTTCCCAATAATCCGTAAACAGCAGTAGCCAGTTTTTTATGAGCTGAACGGCGCAGTCGAATCCACGTCCTAATTCTGAAATTCCTGACAGTACCAATTTATCACCGAAACAATGAGTGAACTGCAGAAGGAGAGGTCTTCGAGTGTTTCATTTACTTTTGCATGGGTGTAACTTACTAATTCACAAAGTTCACCGGTTGCCGACAAGAAAGGCAACATGCTGCTCATTGGATTTTATTCTCGTGTGGCCTCTGCGACATAAACTTTTAATAATTTCAATAATAAATGATTTCACAAACTTTTCTACACGTATAAACAATTTCTGTGGGACTAGGACCAGTGGGAAAGACACCGTGTATGTTGACCTTTCACTCGATTGGTCGTTCTTGAGAAAACTCGGGTAACTGACATTGCAAAAATCGGGACATTCATTTCTATTGCGCTTGCTGAAGTGCTGCTCTTCAAATTTCAACTGTTGGAGCAGTGCTTCTCGAGCAGCAAATATGAAATATTGTAACGAGCAGCTACTGCATCCAGAACGCCTTACGTAGAAAACTGATCGGTCTGGAGACGTAGCGTGACTCCGATCATTTCATTATTGTAGTAGAATAACAAAATAAAACTCACCCAGCTAAATCTTTGGGAAATCCATCATCCTCATTAGTCCGAGCACTGCACGACGAAACAGCAGTTTTTTGAAACATCAATTTTTTTCTAAACTGTTGGCGAAGTGCAGTTCTAGAGATTCAAAAAAAATCTTTTAATTCCCAAAAGAATGTTTTCTTTTCGTTCGCCTCATGACATCCTATAAAGGGATGAGGTTCCTGTTTCGAAACTGATGAAGGATAAATGGCGACGCGAGGTCGAAGGAAATGTATTCACGCTCGCGTATGGTACTTGAATTGTCAATTGCCGGATCAAATGTACCAGGATGGACATTTTTTAGGTAAGAAATGCAGGTTTACTGGAAAAGCTGGATGACGACACAAAGAAGCTACAGGAGGCATTCTTTGAGGTGATTACCAGCGAAGCATCATACCTTCGTTCCTTGAATATCCTGATTACTCATTTTATGGCAGCACCTGAAATGCTTGGTATGTATTTGACAGAGAATTCTTTCAAAACTCGTCTTTCCTGGATTTAAATTCATATATTCATAATTCTAGAAATCGTACAGTCTCCCTCTGCGGATCCTCGCATTCATGTATTATTTTGTTGACTTGAAATTTAAATCAATAGCTAAAAATGCTACTTTGTCACCGGAAAACTTGTTGTCTTGCTACTGAAAAACTTTTTTACTAAAATGAATAAGCTTAAAATGCTGAACAAACTGGCCACCAGGTAATACAGTGTTGGCCAAAAAAATCAGAAAAGATGTTAGCTACGTATTTGGAGTCCTAAACTAGCCTAGCAGTTTTTACAAGTATCCAAGTATTTCAAAATTTTGTTAATTGGACTGTATTTCGTTGTTTTTTGGTTTTTCCTAACTTTCATAATTTGCTGCAATGAAATGAATCTACACCTAAACAAATTATCGGATTTACTTAAATATCTTTTTAACTGTTAAAATGCATCGTAAGAAACTTAATGCTTTTTTCAGCTTAAAAAATTGACAAGCTCTTAACCGAACTGTTTGCGTGTGGCAAAAAACCCAGGCTGGAAAGCAGCAGGCTCTCCGGTGCGATAATGCATTTTTATGCGTTTTGTGCTGTGCAACAGCAGTACAAAACGCATATTGTTACGCGGTTGTCTGTGTGTGTTTGTGTGTGTGTGTGTGTCCGCAGCAACTTGTCCGCAACTTTCAACTCGG